GCCATTTTTTGGAAGAAAACTATGGGCTATAGCCTTATGTATTTTTTAAAAATTGGCCAAATTCTTAAAATGGCCATAACTCAAAAAATATTTGTCGGAATCAGCTCAAACTTTTTACACAATATAAGGACATTAATATGCATCAAAAAATTTAATAAAAATTTGGAGTGATATTGGAGCCATTTTTTGGAAGAAAACTATGGGCTATAGCCTTATGTATTTTTTTAAAATTGGCCAAATTCTTAAAATGGCCATAACTCAAAAAATATTTGTCGGAATCAGCTCAAACTTTTTATGACATTAATATGCATCAAAAAATTTAATAAAAATTTGGAGTGATATTGGAGCCATTTTTTGGAAGAAAACTATGGGCTATAGCCTTATGTATTTTTTAAAAATTGGCCAAATTCTTAAAATGGCCATAACTCAAAAAATATTTGTCGGAATCAGCTCAAACTTTTTACACAATATAAGGACATTAATATGCATCAAAAAATTTAATAAAAATTTGGAGTGATATTGGAGCCATTTTTTGGAAGAAACTATGGGCTATAGCCTTATGTATTTTTCAAAAATTGGCCAAATTCTTAAAATGGCCATAGCTTGAAAAGTATTTGTCGGAATCAGCTCAAATTTTCTACACAACATAAGGACATCAATATGAATCAAATAGTGTAATAAAAATTTGGGGTGATTTTGGAGCCATTTTTCACAAAAACCTTTTTTCAAAAATTGATCGATTTCTTAAAATTGCCACAACCCAAAAAATATTTGGCTGAATTAGGCCAAACTTTCTACACAGCATGAGGACATCAATAATTAAATACATGTATGCATCAGAAAACATAATAAAATGGGGGATGATTCCAAAGCCATTTTTTGTATTTTTTAAAAACTGGCTCAATTCATAAAATAGTCATAACTTGAAAAATATTATTCAGAACCAGCTCAATTTTTTACACAGCATAAGGACATTAATATGTTTCAGAAAATGTAATAAAAATTGGGGATAATATTAGTGGTGCATGCCTCTTTTTCAACTATGAGAGGTTAGACAGAAAATGGCCTATACTTTCAAAATGATTGTAAATCCAAACATTAAGTTAAAATACACTCAAACTTTTTACACAGGATAAGGACATTAATATGCATCAAAAAATGTAATAAAAATTTGGAGCGATTTTGGGGTCATTTTTCACAAAAACCATGGGCCATATATAACCGTGAGCTTTTTTGAAAATCGGCTGATTTTAAAAATAATTCTAATAACTCAAAAAAGTTGGAATAAGTTTAAACTTTTTTTACAGAGCATAAGGGCAGCAATATGTATTTAAAATGTACTAAAAAATTGGGGTAATTTTTGAGCCATTTTTTGGGAGAAAAGTGAGCTATATAGCCTTTGTTTTGTTTCAAAAATTGACTGATTTAAAAAATGCTAATAACTCAAAAAATTTTTGTCAGATTGGCTCAAACTTTCTACACAGCATAAGGACATCAATATGCATCAAAATTATAATAAAATTTAGAGAACCATTTTTGGAAAAAAACCATGGGCTTTGCTATTTTATATAAAATTAGCTAAGTTTTTAAAATGCTCAAATGAAGATATTTCTCTCTCATTTTCCTACATATACTATAAGGTGACACAATAAACATATGCTACTTGTGCAGAACTAACGCTAGCATTAATAGTGTGTGTACAATTTTTATCCTTTTTATTATGGCCTGCAAGGGTATAAGATGATTGTTAATCTACACATTGGAAATGATGATCAAAAAATGTATACCAGTAGTTAAAGCAGAAGGTTATGCATAAAGTCAATTTTTCCTCCACTCTATACCAATTTACTTTTATCAAAATAATAATTAAATTGCAGCAAAAAATAGTCACTAAAGCAGCAAAAGTAACAGAGTACTTATTTATAAAGTTCAATAAAATTAACTAGTTTCTTATCCCTACCAGCCCAACCTCTAACACTTGTATTCCCAACAGTGGAAGTTTGCAGGAGTTACTGGATGCTAATAAAGTATCAACCATTACATTAATAATAATAAACACAATAATTATACTTACATATTCATAATCTGGAGACTGAATGTAAGCTATGCGAAGACATGTCCCCCAGTTCTTCATGCATGTCACATCCAATTCTTGACCATCACACTTTGTACAGGAATCTCCTCCTTTTGGATGAGGTTCAATTGTAGGAGAATAATAATAAGCTTGACAGCTTGATAGCCTGCAACCTCCTGGACAATTATTGTTTGGTTCTGGGAAAGGTGACCTAAATAAACAAATTGTTGTTATTAATAATTATAGAAATAATGATAATAGTCTGTACAAGGAACAATACTCACATTGAACAAACATTAAATCTGTGTAAAAGACAAAACTGAGCTGTACAAGTTGGAGGACATTCTACAAAAAAATTAACTAATAAAAACAATCATTCAATGATATTTTACCTCCACATTTATTTTCACAATCATATTGATAGTGGAAACTATTTTTATTTTGATTACATCCTCCATATGTAAATATTTCACATTGCTTGCTTGTTTTATTGTAAAAATATCTCTGGAATTTACCATTACAAGGTCCAGCATAAGGAGGAAGGTGACAATCTACAATAAGAAGTAATCAAGTGATGAATCTGTAAATTATGTACAATATTGACCTGTTAAGCATCTAATGTTAGTCGAATTCTCAGTGCAATTAGTGCATGATAATTGTCCTCTTGATTCCTGATAAGTTCCTTTATCACATGACTGGCATGGCTCAAAACCAGTTGATGAATATTGATCTTCTTTACATTGATCTAGTAATTATACAAAATGAAATACATATACGTATAAATTAAAGCACTGTTGAGAGTAGGTTACGATAATTATTATATGAGGGGTGGTCGAGAAGAAAATGTAGCATGAGGCGAAGCTGAGTGCTACATTTTGTCAAGACCGTCCCGAGTGCAATAATTCCTGCAATCTACGAATCAACAGTGCTTTGATTGATTTGTAGTGGTGCGTGGGCAGATCAAATTTCATTTCAAAAGTTGCACAGGTGGCCAGACTCAAGGGATCAGGTCTCATTTATCACTATTATTATACAGTGATTTTCCTTAAACTTGCATGATAGGCAAGCAGAAATGTGTTATGCACATGCTCTGTTGTGGTCAGGAATAAAATGGATGCACAGTGATCATGCACCAACTTAATACTGACCACAACAGAGCATGTTCATAACACATTTCTGCTTCTCTATCATGCAAGTTTAAGAAAATCACTGTAATTACATGTACATGTATAATGTGTATGTAGCTGTGGCTGTGTTTTGCCTCTATCAAAGTTTGTGGTTAACAGGAAAGCCTATATGTATTATACTCTGCAGTACTACATATTATACTCTGCAGTACTACATATTCCAATAGTGCTACATTTTCATACCATGCACATTATTAAAGTTGTAGCACTGGTGGTGCCTTTGATCTGCCCATGCACCATACTACAAATGTACTTAATGGTGAAAATCATTACCTTCAATGCAAGTTGATACATTTGATTCTTTGGTACATGTTAGGCAGAATTTGCTACCATACAGTGTCTGATAGTGTGAAACAGCACATTTCTGACATGGTTCATATCCAGTATCAGAGTATGTTCCAGGAGCACACAATGCTAGGTATAAAGAATTTAAATAAAATATTGATAATATTTAATACC